ATCATGTGCCAGCAACGCCCCTCTGCCATGTACATTGGCCAAACCGGACAGTCTCTACGCAAAAGAATTAATCGACACAAATCAGACGTCAAGAATTGTAACATTCAAAAACCAGTCGGAGAACACTTCAACCCCCCTGGACACTCAATAACAGACTTAAAAGTGGCAATTTTTCAACAACAAAAACCGACTCCCAACGAAAACTGCAGAACTGGAATTAATTTGCAAACTGGACACCATCGAATTAGGCCTGAATAAAGACTGGGAATGGGTGGGTCACTACAAAAAATAATCTTCCCTCTGTTGATACTCACACCTTGTCAACTGTTGGAAATGGGCCACATCCACCCTAACTGAATTGGCCTTGTTAGCACTGACTCCCCCACTCGGTAAGGCAACTCCCATCTTTTCATGTGCTGTGTATTTATACCCGCCTCCTGTATTTTCCACTCCACGCATCTGCTGAAGTGGGTTATAGCCCACGAAAGCTTATGCCCAAATAAATGTTAGTCTCTAAGGTGCCATTATGAACTCAGAGTCCCATATTAGTGATGAAAGCAGATTTGTTTTTTCTGAGCACCCTTATCTAAAGGAATCTGCCAATAAATCAAAAGAATGGAGATATTTAGGTTTGCTTAAAATGTGCATTATATCATCAATTCTAGGCATGGGATACGCAACTGGTATTGTAACACCATTGAGTTTTCTATAATCAACACAAAACCGTACAGTGTTTTATTTCTTAGAGATCAAGACCACAGGTGACGCCCAAGAGCTGTCAGACTCTAAGTACTCCCAGGTCTAACATGTTTTGTATTGCTGTTTGAATTTGTTCCTGCATCTTGCCGGTAGCCCTGGAGGGTCTGCTGGGAGGTGACTGTGGCCATTCTGTAATGATCTTATGAGTTAGCAAGTGTGTCTTCCCTGGCTCGTGAGAAAACACTTCTTTGTGTTCTTGCAACACAGATGACACCTCTGCCCTTTCAGCAGGTGGTAACGCACTGCAGATATTGATGCTTTCTGGGGCTGAGTCAGTTTGGAATTCAGCCATTCAATGAATCATAGACTATCAGGGTTGGAAGGGACCTCAGGAGGTCATTTAGTCCAACCCCCTGCTCAAAGCAGGACCAATCCCCATGAGGTGATGTGCTTCAGTTTCTCCCTCTACAACAGTGGCTCATGTTCACCATGGCTTCCCTGCTGTGATAGGTTCTAAGTCTGGTCACATGGACTAGTTGTGGGACAACATTACCATGAGGCTTTCTGACATGATGTGTATCTTCATTTACCACCCATCATGTCTTCTAACTCCTTTTTTAACCTTTGTACATATTCAGTTACTGGCTCTTCCTCTGTCTCAGTGTCAGTCAGAGTTACAGCCTCAGGATACCTAGTGGCAAATTCACCACCACCAAAATAGATTTCTTCCCCCCCTGTTGGTAGGACGTGGGCATAGGACCCACAATGTCCATTGCTACCCTCAGAAATGCCTCTTGTATCACAGGGAAGGGGTGTAGCGGAACTGTCTGGGGTCCTGCAGGTCTCCTGCAATAATTCCTCGCATCATTCTGTTTCCCTGGCCAGCAGACATTTTCCTTTAACCTGTCTCCGGTTCCGTGTGCCCCCAAGTGATCAGCAAAAGGTCAATCATGTACTAACAACATGAATTCCACACAGTGCTGGGCAGGCACAACCAACTGGGTAGAGGGGTGCCCATGGCTTTTGGTTTTTTGTCAATGGAGCTTCTTTATGCAATCTCCCATCTTCTTCAAAAAACCCTCTCCCCATCTTCCCTTCTTGGGAGCCCCCACTAGGACACACTCTCTTATGCTTTCTAGAGTGGGGTCCATCCTTTGTTCAGCTGCAAAACACTGGCATCTGATATCTGAGACAGCGTCTTCAGTCACAGGGCTCATCTCATAGAATCATAGAATATCAGGGTTGGAAGGGACCTCAGGAGGTCATCTAGTCCAACCCCCTGCTCAAAGCAGGACCAATTCCCAACTAAATCATCCCAGCCAGGGCTTTGTCAAGCCTGACGTTAAAAACCTCTAAGGAAGGAGATTCCACCACCTCCCTAGGTAACCCATTCCAGTGCTTCCCCATCATCCTAGTGAAATAGTGTTTCCTAATATCCAACCTAGACCTCCCCTACTGCAACTTGAACCAGAAGTAGAACCCACAGGTCTGGAATTGTAACTTTTTAATGACTGTTTCAGCTACATTCCCCTCCTCATCAGATACCCGTCCCGGGGATCCCACAGCCTGCACCATGGGGATCTAAGTTGAGTCTCTGAAAGTTTCAAACATTATTGGTGAGCCATACGAAGGGGATTGGGAAACGAGGACTCCTGGGTTCTGTCCCCGCCTGTGAGGGGAGTGGGGTCCAGTGGTCAGAGCAGGGACTGCTGGAAGCCAGGACTCCTGGTTTCCACCCCTAGCTCTGAGAAGGGAGTGGGGTCTAATGGGTCAGAGCAGAGGAGGCTGTGAGTCAGGACTCCTGGGTCCTATCACTAGCTCTGGGAAGTGGGAGGGGGAGGCTAGAAAAAGGCTAATTAAAGCATGCAGCTGCAGCACAGAATGGGGAGGCTAGAGGAAAGGCACTGTGGCCGAATGGCTGAGTCCTGGCCCTGCTGCCTCAGAGATCTGGGTTCAGACCGAGTGGGGGATAGAAGTGGCCTCAGGGAGCCCCTCTGCTAATGTGAGGGGGACTGCAGACCCTCCCCCCCAAAGTCCATGACCATCTAGCAGGCCTCTTACCTGCCCGTTTGATGGGCATTTTCTTCTGATCCTTGACCAGCAGGTATTGCAATTTGCTCATCTCTTCTCCCCCCCGCCCAGCCCGAGGGCATGCTGCTTTTCTCTGCCGTGCAGGACACAGCCTCAGCCCCTTCCCACATCTGGAAACACACTGTTTCTTTCTGCTGCAGAGGAGCTAGAGAGACGCCCCTCAGCAGTCTCTGGGACTTTACCACTCTCCTCTGGGATCCCAGCACAATATTCCCTTTTGCTACAAGTTACCACATTAATAGCCCTAGCCGTAGGCAAAATATCATTCCCAACAAGCATTTCCAGGGGGATACGATCCAGCACCCCAATGTCAAGACCCCTTCCAAACCTTCCCAGTCCACATGCACCTTGGCTAACGGTACAGGAATATCCTCCCACAGCAGGACTTTTGGTCAGGTAACATGTCAGCCTTTTGGTCCATGCTTCTCTTGGCCAGAGAGATCTGGGCTCCGGTGTGTCTCCACACCGTGAATCCCTTGGTATTTACTCTGGCAGCCTTAATAAATTCCATAGCTCCCCCCTCCAGGCCAGTCCTCACAAAACTCATTGGGGTAGCTCTGGAGACAGCTGCATTAATGTGGGTTGGCTGGGGCTTGCTTTCTTTTAGCCCAGGCCATTGATTTCTCAGGTGGTCAGTGGAGTTACATTGGAAACACCGACTGGGATCCTCCTCTTTCCCAGGAGGTTTGTGATGAGGATTTTCAGGAGGGGAATGATTCTGCAGCGGTGAGTCCTTAGGCCTCCTTCTTCCTGGGGTAAAATGGGATCCCCTTTTACGCTGGGGTTGGGTCCCTCCTTCTGCGGCTTGCACTCATTGGACATCTGGGCTTGCACAAAGGAGTCACCCAGAGTGGCCATCTCGTCCACAGATTGTAAAGATTTCTCCCACAGACTGTTCCTACCGTTGTCAGTGCACATACGCAAGAAATGTTCCGGAGCAAAGAGATCAAACCGTCGGCCATAATCCTCAGCCCTCTTCCCCTTTATCCATTTCCTTGTGGTCCCACGTCTTACAGGCGTGTTCGCTATGACTCAGGCCAGCGCCTTTCCCGAGACTTCTAAATTTCAACCTATACGCTTCAGGGGTAACGGGGAACCTTTGTAAAACAGCTTTTTGAAATGCAGGGTACGGGCTAGCAAAGCTTCCTGAAGCAGCATTTCATTAAACACCTTCAAAGCTTTGCAAAACTGTGGTAATCAGGGTGGGGACGTTCTTGTCCTCAGGAATATTGTGAATCTCACAGAGCCATTCAAAAGTGGTTGGATATTCTTTAGTGCCGGCTGATTCCGTGTCCACAGGATACAACTTTTCTGAGCGAAGGGTTCCTTGAGTGGAGGGAGAGACTGGGGACTCTGGGATCTGTCCAGGTTATACGTCCGCTGCTCCCCTTCTTGAAGCTCGTTCTCTCTCCGCTCCGCCGCTCCTTTATGAGCTGCTGCGTCTCGCTCTTCTTCGCTTCTCACCTTCTGGGGCTTGCCACTCGGCATCGTCCTTCGCCTCGATCCTCAGCTCTGCTTGCCGTTTGCTCACGTTCTCTGTCGCTTTCTTCGGCTCCCAGGCTGGCCAGCGCTGGCTTTGCAGTTGTTTCGCTGTTGCTCATTTTGATGCTTTACTGTTTCCGTTTCCCTGACCCGAGATAAGCAGACAGAAAACAAACCGAGGGTAACCTCTCCCTGTCCGTTTCCAGCCGGCGGTGCTTTGAAGTCTAGACGGCTGGTGGCAGTTTCCCCCTGCCAACCCAAGTCACAGTGTCTTCACTGCTAGTTTAACCCCAGTTAAGAACACACCTTGTTTGCAGTGCCTGTATACCCAGTGATGCCCCCCCCAATCTCCTGGGCACCCCTCTGGCAGGAAGTCCCACCCCTGACACAAGGAGTGTGCCGCTGTACCCCCCATCCTCTCACTCCTCTTTCTCCCCACAGTCACACTCATCGATTCCTACGAGTCGTCCACATTCATGTTCCTGGTGTTTGATCTGTGAGTATGAGATCCCTGCACCCAGCCCCCACTTCTCCCACCAGGACCCTGCCACGAGTGACCCCCCCCCACCTCCCCTGCAGGGGTCTGCCACACCGCAGGGGCCTCCTGGCACGCTCACATCTGCCCCACTCCCAGCAGGGGCCCCCCATATGCTGGGGCTCTCACGCCAGGAATGGAGCCAGCCAACCTCCTGCAGACCCCAGGGTTGTGTGGTATGGGACACCTGTGCCCATGGATCAGGAGAAGTGGTGCCCCCAGATCCTGAACGGCCTGACTGGGCTCCCTCCCACTCCATCCGCTCCCTGGGATGATTTCCACCCACCCCACCAGGGCTGATCGCCCCCAATCTGCCCTGTCACCTCATCAGGGCCAATTCGCTGCCGCCGCCACCTCCCCCCCCCCGCCCACCTCCCAGCTGGCTGACAATCCCCTTCTCTCCCCAGGATGCGGCGTGGGGAGCTCTTTGACTACCTGACGGAGAAAGTGACCCTGAGTGAGAAGGAGACCAGGTACTGTACAGCGCCCCCTGCTGGCGGAAGCTGGGGCTGGAGTAGCCGGGAGCTCCCCCACAGACAGTGCTCCTGCCCTGCTCCCCACAGCGCCCCCTGTTGGGCGAGGCGGTGGCTGCAGGCGTGATCTGTTTCTCTCTTCTCCCCCTGCCCTCCCCGCCCTCCAGGTGCATCATGCGAGCGCTGCTGGAGGCGGTGAGCTACTTGCATGCCAGCCACATCATCCACCGTGACCTGAAGCCCGAGAACATCCTCATGGACGATCAGCTCAATATAAAGCTCTCCGACTTCGGCTTCTCCTGCCGGCTGGAGCCAGGGCAGAAACTGCGGGGTCAGAGCGGGCTGGGCGGGAGGGGCCTCGGGGGAGGCCAAGCTGATCTATGGTCAGTGGGAGGGTTGAGCTAGCTGGGTCAATCCAGGGAGCGTGGGGAGGGGAGAGGCCAAGGGGCTGACTGATGGGGGGTGGGAGTTGGAGGGGAGCACATACTCCACTCTGGGGGGCTGGCTGGACGTGGGGGCCGATCCAGGGTTGGGGGAAGGGAGGACATGGCTGGGCAGGAGGGGAGGCTGCTGGGGACTGCTTCAATGGGTGGGGCGGGCAGGGGCAGGTGTGGCTGATCTATGGGGCTGATCCGGGAGGGAATTGGAGGGCACTGTTTGTCCTTGCTCACTCATGCCCGGGTGTCTCTCTTCCCCCTTCTCCCCCCCAGAGCTGTGCGGGACCCCCGGGTACCTAGCCCCAGAGATCCTCAAGTGCTCCATGGATGAGACGCACCCGGGCTACAGCCAGGAAGTGGACCTGTGAGTCCCTGTTGCAGCAGCCACCGCTGGGCTGTGGGGAGAAGGGCTCATTCGGGGGTGGCAGGGAGGGCTCATTCCTGGGGTGGTGGGGAGTGGGTGGGCTTGTTCCATCTACCTCAGTTCCCATCATGGCTCTTAGACAAACCCATGTACTCCCTGCTGGCCACCCACCCTGTGTGCAGGAGGGGTGGTGGTGGGGGGATCCTGACCATTTCCCTAGCTAGCGGCTTCCTCGCCCCCCTGCCCACACCCAGCACCAGCACCCTGATGGGTCCAGTTGGAATGACCTGACCCCTCCCCCCTCATTTTGTCTGTGTTCCAGCCCTGTCCACATGGTCCCACCTAGCAAGTGATGGGTCTGGCCTGAGAGGGTGCGGGGGATGTGGCCCTGTCTGACAGCTGGTGGGGGGAAGGTCCTAGCTCCCCACCCAGTGGCCATTGGCCCCTCTTGCTGATGATCCCCGCCCCGAACCCGTTCCTGGCTCCACCCTCTGCCCCCTCCCTGCAGAGTCGTGATGGCTGAGTAGTGTCTGTGGTTCCAGGCCAAGGATCCGTCTGTCCATCCATCCCCACCCATTGGTCTGTGTCTGTCCATCTTTCCCTGTCTATCTGTCCCCCTCCCAGTGGCGCTGCCTGCCCTAGGTCTGGCTCATGGAACCGCAGCGTGACCTCCCACCCACCTCTCCTCCCCGCAGGTGGGCATGTGGTGTGATCTTCTTCTCCCTGCTGGCCGGCTCGCCCCCGTTCTGGCACCGCAAGCAGATGCTGATGCTGCGCATGATCATGGAGGGGCACTACCAGTTCAGCTCTCCGGAGTGGGATGACCACTCCGACACAGTCAAGGACCTGGTGAGAGCAGGAGTCCCCCCCACCCCTCCATCCCAGATTGGATCAGCCTCCTCCTGCAGTCGCAACCCCCCAACTCCATCCCCAGATCAATCAGCCTCTCCCCACCCCCTCTGAATGGAACAGTTTCTCGCACACAGCCGCGGCACCCCATGGTCTAGTGGCTCAGGCCCCACTGACTCCTCCTGTCCCTGCAGATCTCGCGGCTGCTGCGTGTGGAGCCGTCGGAGCGGCTAACGGCGGAGCAGGCCCTGCAGCATCCCTTCTTCGAGCGCTGCGTGGGGCGCCCGGTCCGGCTGTTCAGCCCCTACCGACGGTTCAGGGTGAGTCACCTCCTTCTCCCCTTCCCCCACGAGCTGGGGCTCTTCCAGGGCTTTCCCCATCACTGTAATGGGCCCTTCCAGCAAGAACCCCCTCCCTCCTGTGTCCCCAATAACTCCCCCTGGCCTGCACTGAGCTAATGGGCTTTCCCAGGTTCCCCTCCTGCCTGCATTGAGCTCTCCCGGGTTCTCCCTCTCCCCCCACTGCACTGAGCCAATGGGGTCTCCTGGGGTCTCCCTCTCCCCCCACTGCACTGAGCTAATGGGCTCTCCTGGGGTCTCCATCTCCCCCCACTGCACTGAGCTAATGGGCTCTCCCGGGTTCTCCTTCTCCCCCTCCCACCTGCATTGGGTTCTCCCTCTCCCCCACTGGACTGAGCTAATGTGCTCTCCTGGGTTCTCCCTCTCCCCCCACTGCACTGAATTAATGGGCTCTCCTGGGTTCTCCCTCTCCCCCCACTGCACTGAATTAATGGGCTCTCCTGGGTTCTCCCTCTCCCCCCACTGCACTGAGCTAATGGGCTTTGCTGGGCTCTTCAGGGTACATGCCCCCCTCCTCCATATGCTGCTTTAAGGGGCTCTTGTGACTCCCCCAATCCCTCTTCCTTTTTCCCTTCTCCCCTTTGCTGGAATAGTCCTCTTCTCCTCCCCCCCCCCCCGTCGCACTGGGGTAATGGCCTCTCCTGCATGCTCCTTTCCCCCAGTGGTGGGGATAATGGTCTCTCCTCTGCCACCTGGCCTCTCCTCCGCACAGCAGGATAATGGTCTCTGCCATCCCCCCTGCAATGGGAAAACGGTCTCCCCTGTGGCCTCCCCCTCTGCCCTGTGCTAATGGTCTCTCCTGCTGCCCCATTTCCCCCCACATCTTGGACAGGGATACTGGGCTTGCCCGTGTTCCCCACCCACTGGGATAATGGTCTCTCCCAGGCACCCCCACCCCCCTGCTGATGGTCTGTCCTGCGTGGTAGGTGCTGGTGTGGACGGTGCTGGCCTCCATCCGCATGTTCAACAGCTACCGGGTGCGCACGCGGCCGGTGACGCGGGAGCTGCTGCTGCGCGACCCCTATGCGCTGAAGGGTGTGCGCAAGCTCATCGACGCCTGCGCCTTCCGCATCTACGGCCACTGGGTGAAGAAGGGCGAGCAGCAGAACCGCGCCGCCCTCTTCGAGAACCTGCCCAAGGCCCTGCTGCTGGCCCTAATGGGCGCTGAGGGCGAGGGGGCGGAGCTGGGCCAGGGCGAGGAGGCGGAGCACTACTACAGCACCACTGCTCCTCTCCACTAGGAGGCAGGGACCAGGCTGGGCTGCGGGAGATCCCGGGGTGGCCCCCCATAGCCTGGGAACCGCAAGTAGGGGGGGTGGGGGATGGTTGCACTGAACGTCAAGCCAGGGGAACACCCTCCCCCCCCAGGGAGTGCAGGGGGGCCCTAGTGCAGGTTTGTCCAGGATTTCTGGGATAGGAAGGGGCAGTCCTGCCTGGGTGAGGTTTAGGGACCCCGTGTGTGTCTGGGGGAGGGGAGTGGCTGGCATGCTGTGTGCATATGTCTAGGATGCGGGGGCAGCTCGCACCCCCTGCCCTTGGCTTCTTTTTACTGGCTCAGTATTGCATCCTGGGAGAGATGGGGCCAAATCCTCCCCTCCGCCCAGATGGCAGAGTTGGGGAGATGGGGCCAAATGCTCCCCGCTCCCCGCTGGGCTCAGCCAGGCCCCGTTGATGTAGCTTGGTTAATTTTTATGTTTTTCCTGTAGTCTGAATTCCTGTGAATTAGAATAAAAATCTATTGTGACCCCTACGGCGCCTGGGGCTCCTTCCTTCGTCTGCGCTCCCAGCACGGGCCCCAGCTCTGGGAGCGCAGGGCCTGGGAGCTGTCTTCCCTGGGGCAAGGGCAGGAGGGGGGACCTTGAGACGGGTTCCCCCGCAGCAGGGAGCAGTTTCCCAGGGCAGTGAGACATGGCACCACCATAGAAGCGGAGTCCTTTATTACCCTCTCCTCTTCCCTCACTTCCGGTGGCCCCGGCCGCCCCCTTTGGGGGAGTTGGGCACCTTCTCCAGCAAGGCCAGCTTAGCGTTGAACTGCTCCTCGCTCGCCCGTAGCCGCTCCTCCACCGCCAGCCGCAGCTGGGCCAGCTCCTGGCAGAGCTGAGCCGAGATGTATTCCCGCAGCGGGGCCCTGGGGCCTGCAGAGGAGAGTGGGGTGAAAAGTGCAGCCAACCAGCTCCCCCACCCTGGGGCCGGAGCAGGGCTGGTGCCCCCTAGAAGGAAAAGGCCTGGGTCCCATTCCCCATCCCCACCCTGGGGCCTGCCTGGAGGCCCCGCTTGCCCCCCAAGGGGAAAGGCCCTGGATCTTGTTCCAGGCCTCACTCCTCGAGGCAGCGGTGGTCTCTTACTCTCCCTGGGGGCTGTGGTTCCACTGTCGGCTTCCTCCTCTTGCGCTGGGGGCACAGGCACAGTCACGCTCTCACCCTGTTCTCCTGCTGGGGGGTGAAGACATTGGCTAATCAGGGTGGGGCTTGGCTTCATCGGCTGGATGCTCCACCTTCCTGTGCCCCCTAAAGCCCCCTTCCTCCCTTCTGTGGTGCCTGGGCGCTTGTCCGCCCAGCACCCTCAGGTGCCCCACTCTGTTGGGATCAAAAAGCCAGTGTCTGGCTGGGAATTGCCGTCCTGTTATAGCATTTTCACCTTGGCTCCAAGGCCCCAGGGGTTGCTCTTGGTCAGCAGCAGAAAGGAGAAGCCCCGATCATCTCCCCCCCCTCTCCCACCGCCACCTCTCAAGCCCACCCACGTGGCCAAGAGTTTTGGGGGTTCAGCGAGCACCAGCCACTCACCCAGCTCGGCCGCGGGCTCCGGCTCTGGCATTCCCATGTAGGACAGCGATATGTCCAGCCGGACCTGCGAGGTGAGAAAACAGGCCAGTCCTGGAAGCCGCAGGGCTGAGGTAGGTGTAGGGCTGGGCACGCCTGCCCTCTGCTAGCTGCCCCGTGTGGGTGGAGGACTCGGGAAGGGGGCCTGTGTGCAGCTAAGCCATGCGGGTGGTGGGGCAGGCCAGGTCCCCAGGGGGTGCTGGGTGTGGCCGACACTGGAGGTGCCATTCCCCATGGGATTCCCCAGGGGGCGCCATACCTGGGGTGTGAAGGCGTATTTGTACAGCTTGAAGTGGCGGAAGTAGGTGTTCACCACGTAGTCACTCATGAGTGCCAGCTGCTCCTGGCTGAAGAGGTCAATGCTGAATGGAGGCCGCTGGGCGGGGGGAGAGGAGAGGGTGAGGCAGGAGATGGGCAGGGGTTCCCCACCCCAGACTTATCCCTCTAACTGGGCCCTGCCGTGGGGGAGCTGGCAGCAGCCGGGGGCCCTCCCTGGCCCGTGGGCAGGGCTCACCCGCACGGCGTGGCAGAAGAGCAGCTCGGTGAAGTAGCGGTAACATTCCTCCACATTGGGCAGTGGTGTCTCTGTGGGAGCAGACATGAGTGTGAGGGACCTGCACCCCCCCATGGCCACACCCACCCCGCAAGCTCCTCCCCAACAACCACACCATCTTCCAGGTTCCTCCCCTTCCTTCCCCATGCCCACCCCCACCGCCTCTCTCCACAGCCACGTCCAACCTCCAGGCTCCTCCTGAGAGCCCCACCCATCTTGTAGGCGTCTCCCCCTCCCTGTGCCCATCCCTACTCATAGAGGGTCCTCCCCTGAGACTCCTCCCCTTTCTTCAGCCCCCCCGCGGTTCCCTGACTCCCTCCTCCCACTGAGGCCAGTGCCTCCCTTCGGCCCCCTCTCTTACCCACACAGGCCTCGTGGGTGTCTTTGACAATGGCGAAGAAGGCGGAGCTTTGCTCCCGGGTGAAGCTGTGTTCCCGGCTGAACTGCACCGTGTAGAAGTAGAGATCCAGCAAGATGGCGGCCCGTGGGTCCGAATCCCAGCCCTGCAGCTGGAACAGCTCCGCCAGCACCCTGCGGAGAGGGGGCCACTGACTGCAGGGGTGAGGTGTCTCCCCAGGGGCCCCCTCCAGGACATGAGAGTACAGGGGGGCTGGTAGGGGGTGCTCTCCCTACCATGGAAGGATAATAGGGGGACCCCAAGCCTAGGTGCAGGGGGAGGGGGTGTCTCCCCAGGGCTGGGGGGCACTAACCAGAGCCTTCCCTGAGTCCTAAAACCAGTTACCTCTTCAGCTCATCAGTGGTCTGCGCCTTGTCGATAAGGTCCATGGAGTGAACGTCCAGGTACTTCCTGCACCAGGGAGAGGGACCCCAATGCCGTGAACGAGCATCATTTGAAGCCCCAGCACGGACTCAACAGCCCGTTGGGGAACATCAACAAGAGACCACCTATTAATATGGCAGGATCAGGAGATACTTTGGGTCTCCCGGCTGAGCCGGTTCTGCCATTCCCAAGTACTGCACCAACAATACCCCCTCCCTGCTCTACTCCAGGGCGTTCCCGTTACCTGCGTTTTAAGGACATAGTGGGTCCTAGGCCCTGGGTGCACCAGAGACTCCAGAACTGATGTAGAGAGAGGTTCACCTGACCAGCTGTAGCCTGGTATGTACCCTGGCCCAAAAGGCCGTCCCTAATTTAGATTGCCTGTGCCAGGCCTGGAACCCTAGCCAAGGGGGTAGTGCAGGGGTGGGCAAACTTTTTGGCCTGAGGGTCACATTGGGGTTCCGAAACTGTATGGCGGGACAGGTAGGGAAGGCTGTGCCCCCCAAACAGCCTGGCCCCTGCCCCCTATCCGCCCCTCCCACTTCTCACCCCCCTCAGAACTCCCCCACCCATCCAACCCCTCCCTGCTCCTTGTCCCGACTGCCCCCTCCCGGGACCCCCCGCCCCTAACCGTCCCCCTAGGACTCCTGCACCTATCAAACCGCCTCTTGCTCCTCCCTGTCCCCTGACTGGCACCCCAGGACCCCCTGCCCCTTATCCAACCCCCCTACTCCCCACCCCCTTACCATGCTGCTCAGAGCACCAGGACTGGCAGCCACACCACCCGGCCGGAGCCAGCCACGCTGCCGTGCAGTCTAGAGCACTGGGGCAGGCTGGAGGCTCTCGCAGCCGCGTTGCCCAGCAGGAGCTCACAGCCCTGCTGCCCAGAGTGCTGGAGGCACGGCGAGCTGAGGCAGCAGGGGAGGGGCCGGGGGCTAACTTCCCCGGCCAGGAACTCAAGGGCCTCGCAGGACGGTCCCGTGGGCTGTAGTTTGCCCACCTCTGGGGTAGTGCCTTGCACACCATTACAAACTCAACACGTGGTCTACGGAGCGCCATCCTTGTGTCCCAACATACAACCCTTTGGCTAGAAGTAGGCAGGAGGTTAAATGGCCTTCCCAGAACTCAGCTTTGGGCTAAATCCCATCAGCTGAGTAACGCTTCAGCTCCCGGGAAGCTTGGCTCTCTAGAGCAGTGCTAGGAGCCAAGCGACCCATGGGGCAGAAAAGCAGAAGTCTGGCACGGCGACTTGGCCCACCTGGCAGCTAAAGAGTGGGAACGTTTCAGAGAAGAGGGACCTCGGACAAATTTGAAAAGATCTGGTCTGACTTTTTAGACCCCTTTGATTTATTCCTAGCAGATGGAAACCAACATGGCGCTCTCCTTTCCTCGCCCTTCCCGTTGCTTTCTTTTTTGTTCTTTTGTCTTGTTTGTTCTCCGCCTACTTTTGGGAGCAATCAATAGGATACACATGACATAACTATCAGAAGCTGCAGCTTGGGTCGGGCACCTGGGTAGCAACCACACAGCGTCACCACATGGGGTGGCTTGCTTGGCACTGAGATGCAGCTGTCTCGGGGGTGGGGAGGTGGGTAAGAGCCATGCAGAGACGCTGCCCAGGGATGGCTTGCCTGGCGCTGAGATGCAGCTGTCTCTGGCTGGGTAACAGCCACACAGCGACGTGCCCAGCGTGCCCCCTTTGGAGGTGGTTGGATGCTACTCACCACATGCAGATCCTGGCTTCATGGCACTGGGGCTGAAAGAGACAGCGATGTGGGGTGTCAGTGAATATGATGGGGATGGGGTGGGGCCAAGACACTGGGATGGGGGGAATGACAAGGTCCCACGAGTCCCACCCTGAGCGGGGTAGCCTGGCCAGTGGCCATAAGAATTAGCTGGTTGATGTTCCTAAGGGGTTAGTAAAAGTGCTCAATAGTTTTATTAATATCAGATGATCAGAATCCAAGAGACAATTTGCCCCTGTGTAATGAGGAATATCATGAGCCAACCACCAAATGTGCTCAACATCAGTGAGGAGACAATCAGCTGGCAGGAGGTGATGGATATTCATGAGGTGCTCAGCAATGTGATTAATATTCATGAGGACATGATTAATCAGCTGTGGCTGGTGACTCTTCATGAGACACGCCTACATGTACAGTCTATATATGTACAAGAACCTACATTACAAAACAGAATTTCCCTCCTGACATTTTGAAATTTGTTTTAGTGCCGAATCAGAACAAAAAGCTGAAATTTCTGGAGGACATTTTGAAAAATTGCACTTTGGAACCATCAAAATGTTTCGTTTTGATAATGTAGAACTGCCTACTTTTGGCAATGTCAAAATGTTTTATTTTGATAATAATAATAATAATACCACCAATTTCTTAGCGCTTTTCCTCAATTTCCAAGCGCCCCAGAATCTTTAATTGGATGCAGAGTAGTTGGAGGTGTGTCAGTCCCAGGATATTAGAGAGACCAGGTGGGTGAGGTAATATCTTTTACTGGACCAACTTCTGTTGGTGAGCGAGAGAAGCTTTCAAGCTACACAGAGCTCTTCTTCAGGTCTGGGAAAGGTACTCCGAGTGTCACAGCTCTATTTATGCTAAGGAATCTGTTCCACCTTGCATTTCGTGGGTTCTGCAAGGCAGAGGTCTTGAGCTTGCCCCCTGAACAAAAATCTGGCAGGTGAAGAAGGGGGGTGGGGCTCTGGGTGCTGCACTTTAATGGTAAAAGTGCTGTATGTTGGCCACCCCGTTATTATAGTGTCCATAGAATTGAAATGCCTGCAATGATGAGTGTTTTTAAAGCTGTGGAAATTCAGTAGGTGACAAATCTTACTGAGGGGGAAGTAATTAGGTAATGCTGGGTTTGGATATTCAGAGCCTGATCAAGGTAAATGAGGCAATGAATATTCAGGGAGATGATGCATATTAAGGAGGTGATGAAGGGGTGAATAGTCATGTTGAATTATTATTAATGAGTGATGACAATTAAAATGATTGGTGATTCATCGATTTGAGGATGATCTCTACCATGGATTTACATATGGGTCCTGAGATGACTCAGGAGTCCGATCCTGGAACCGCAAATCCGCCCGTGGTAGGTACAGACATTTCGTGGCAGGCCAGCTGCCTGTGGGAGAAAGTTCTTTCTTTTTCCTTCCTTCTCTCTCTCTTTTCAACTTTGAGGGCAAGGCGCTTCTCCTCGTAGTGGGCCACTGCCTGATGGAGGATATGGCACCATTGGGGTCGGTTGGTGGCTTGCTCTTCCCAGTTTGTGATGTCCCCATCAGTTTTCTTAAGATACGTTTTCAATGAGTCTTTGTAGCATTTCCTCTGACCACCACGGGATCTCTGACCATGGGCGAGCTGAGAGTAGAGCACTTGTTTTGGGAGGCGAGAGTCTGGCATCCACAAACAATGTCCAGCCCAGCGAAGAAGGTGCGGGAGGATCATTGCTTCAATGCTGGTGACATTGGCTTCAGCAAGGATGCTGGCGTTAGTGCGGTGATCTTGCCACTTGACGCAAAGGATCTTCCGGAGGCATAGTTGGTGGTACCTCTCCAGACGCTTGAGGTGCTGTCGATAGGTCACCCAGGTTTGGCATTCAAAGAGGAGTGTTGGAACAACAAATGTCTTATAGACCTGGATCTTGGTGTCCACGATCCGTGAAAATGCGTCGGAGCAATTTCCCAAAGGAAGCACTTGTGCACTGGCTCCTGTGCCGGATCTCACTGTCGATTGAAATCCTTGACAGCGGTTAGCTGCTGGTGTGTGCCACATCGTGCTGGCCTCTATTGCTCCCTTGTTGGTCTGTCGGGATCCATCTGGTGTCTTGTTTTACACGGGGATTGTCAGCTCTTCGGGGCAGGGACTGTCTCTTTGTTCTGTGTCTGTACAGCGCCTAGGACAATGGGGTCCTCCTGGGCTGTGACTGGGCTTCTAGGCGCTACCGTAACACACCGAATAAATAGCGTACAGCACCTAGCACAAGGGGGTCCTGGTCCATGATGGAGGCTGCTCCTAGGTGCTATGGTGATAATAATCCGATCGTGTACAGGGACTAAGTGGCAAATGAATGAGGAGCTGCAGCGAGTTAACGAATGTCCCCAATGGACGGGGTGATGAATATCTACAAGGCGATGCTCGTCAGCAAAAATTGCCACCAATTCAGTGGTGAATATTTACATGCTCATAAATATTCATGAGCGGCTGCATCGGGGGTTGCTTACACTCACCTAGTGAGGGCTATTTCCCTGGAGAGGGATGACCCTCAAATACTAATCAGATGCTACAATCACGAGCTGATGAATATTCATGAGGTGTCGATTCTGCAGCAGCATCCGAGTCTCCCATCAGAACTGGGCGGCTATGGAGGGTTGAACTGACTTTAGGTGAATGCTAATTAGTCGAGCAATTAATACCAATTAGCATGTGCATATTAATTAATTTACGCATGCTAATTAGCCATTCAGTTAATTAGGCGGAACATAGTATTGCCTATTGATTAGGCCGTGCGTGTTAGTTAATTGGCTGGCTCGTACTAATTAGCTGAGCTGTGTTAATTGGGTGAATGTTAACGAGCTCATTAACGTGAGTAATTAGCTATGAGAACTGATGGCGATGAATATTAATTAGCCAACGCATATGAATCACCTGGCGGGTGGTTAACGAGCCCGCGCATATTCATGAGTTAATTAATATTAATGAGCCGACCGCGGGATCATGACGAGACTCATACATATTCATGAGATGATAGACGGGCTGCGGTTCCACCTCGTAGACGGGTCTTGGCGGCGCGGTTGCCATGGCAGCAGCGTAGCCCCCGCCCCGCCCCGCGGGCCCCTCGCTCACCTGCTTCAGGCCGCCCCCCGGCACCATCGTTGCGGCGGCGCCGGCTCCTCCTAACGCTCGGGCCACGTCGCCACGGCAACCCCCGCTCCGCCAATCAGAGAGGGTATCGAGGCCGGAACCAATCAGGGAAAGATTCACTATACGGGTGAGAGCTCATCAGCCAATCGCCGAGGTTGTCTTTGTCCAGCCAATCACACGGTGTATATCCCCTGGGCTTCAGCCAATCAAAAACAGTCTTTTCGGCTCAGCGGCCTTAGGCCAATCAGCGCTTGTCTCTCTTTGAGGGCTGGCTTCCATGATCCAATCACAGAACGCCTCTTTCACCTCTCAGCCAATCCCCAGCCGGTCTCTAACATCAGCCAATCTTCGGCCGGGCCACTGGTCGACTAACCCCGCCCCTCCCTCTCTCTCATCCAATGGGAGAAGAAGGGAAAAAAAACCCTCGTCCCGCGCATGTGCATCGCGAGGTAGCGGGCGGGTGTTGGGAGTGTCAGGTCAGCGCGTGCGCAGTGGAGTGGCTGGGGGGTGGGCCTGGCGAGGGCAAGCCGCTGGGAGTGGGAGCGCGAGGCAGGTGAGAGCGGCGAGGGGGGGGCGGGTGGGAGTTGCGATGAGAAGTGGGGTGGCGGTGAGGGAGGGGCAGGCAGTGAAAGTGGCAAGGGAGGGAGAGGTTGGGAGGAGAGGTGGGGAGGGGAGGGAAAGGGGGGTGACAGGTGGTTGTGGGGCAGGCAGAGAAAGTGGCAAGGGGGGAGAGGTTGGGGGAGG